AGGGAATCAAATTCAGTTCAGCAGTGAAAGGTGCTCCTCTCGTCGCATCACTTGTGAAACCCGTATACGCACAGCCTTATAACATTTCGGTGCTCCAAGTCAGCGAACCTATTGAGGCTCCAGGGATTGAGAACATGGCTCCTCCACCACCGCCTGCTGCCGTTCCCAAGAAGGCACCAGCTCCAACTGCCAAATCTCCTTCCAAGGCTCCTGCACCATCCAAGGTGGAACCATCCACTCCAACTGAATCACCGACCGAGGGGCCAGTGGCTGCTGATGGGCCAGCAGCTGATGTACCCACAGCCTCTCCATTGGCTGACGCGCCAATGGCAGATGAAACTACTGCTGAAGCTGCTTCTTCACAAATGCATGCTGGTGGTGCCGTCGTGGTGATAGGATTGTTGGCCTGCATGATGGGTTTTTGAAAGGCAACCAATAGAACAAGGCAGAAGAAAAACTAGGTACAAGAATGGAGAAAACCGAAGCTGGATAGCATGGAAGTTAGCACAAGAATCAATGTCTTTTGTGCTGCATTTGATTGCATCCCCCTCCGATCACCTCAATTTGAAATGAAGTTGGAGGCCTAATGGGGGCATACAAGTTTAGTCTGATTTATACTTATAGATTTGCAAATTCAAATTTTTTACATGCTTTATGAACATGCCTCGATTTTTCATCAAGCACAATTTTTTTTCTAAAGATGCTGTGCAAGTCAGCCCGTTTGTAGCTAAAGCGTCCAGTATCCTGCCCGAGGGCAGTCGTGCCTTATTGTTGTCAAGATTTCACAGCAATTTGACAGAAATTATATGATCTGGAGTCTTTGGTTAACAATCTTACTTGAACATTCTGATGAAAATCAGAAAACCAAATCGATAAAAGAAATTGTAAAATCAAGCTCCACAATCAAGACAATGATCAAACATCGATACGAAGAGCCACTTTCCTGAATTCATTAGCTGTGGTAAAACATTTCAAATACACAAACATGAATCCGCTTGTCCGTACAGGCTCATCATATGAGCTAGTCAAGAATATCCAAAATGGCTGTAAGGCTCACCTTAACAGAATCGGAAGAATAATTAGGAAATGCACTATCATTAATCCACACCTACGATCAGTGCTCTTTAAATGTTTTGACCATTGAACCAGATTAACTTGGTTAACTTTCGATGAAACCCCCCAAAAAAGGACTCTCTTGTAATTCAACCAGATTCATCCAGATGCATTGGTTGTGCTTTTGACCCTGTCAATTATATCGGAGATGACTTGGTCCATGTCAAGTGCCTTCAAAGGTGGAAACGGTCTCTTCATGTTCTGCAATAGATGACAGGCGGAGCAAAAAGGAAACAATTTCAAGCAACAGCAAAGGCTACTTTAGCAAAGCATGTCAGATAATTTTTTAAAATAAATATGGGAAGGGACCCTGTCTGATCTTGTTAATTCAAACATTTACTTAAATTCTTCTTGAATAACTAGATTCAAATCAAGAATCTTTTGCAAACTGAGCCAAGTCCCAAGAGCTAACATATCTGTAAATTATGCACAATTTCACCAAAGACCTAGTTTTCGTCCAAGATTACAAAATAAACATCATATAAAATGGCGTTTTACTAATGCGGATTTTTACCCCTCACTGACAGAAGAAGGGCTATTGCATGCGCCATGCGGAATTGTTGATTTAACCACCGCTCACTCCTTTTTAGACCCACAGAAAATGGTGCATTAGACTTGGACTTGTTTAAGCCTTTTAAGGTACAAAGATGAAGGTTTTGAAGAAAATCATTAGTTCATGACATCTCAGATCAAACAAAGAACAATTTATTATTCAAGCTATCTCATATTTTAAAATTGAACTCACAAGTTTTTACCAGAAATCATTGAGTACTGATCTTTGTTAAATATGGAAACTCTGCAGGCATGATAAAATTAACCATTCCTAAAGGTTTTAAGAGAATGAAACAAAATTAAAATAAAAAAATGCATCAGCCATACAAATTGATGAACTAAATAGACTATCAATAGATACTTCAGGTGTGAATTTTACCTGAAGACTGATGAATGTTTCCCCACCTTCTTCCCGTATTTCAAAGCATCCCCTTCTAGGCTGTTGAGAGTTGAAGAGACATCAATTAAACAGAAAATATGCAAGTAAAGGAGAAGTTAAAACACCAAACAATATGCCAGTAAGATGGCAGATAATCCTTCTGCAAAGAAAACTTGTTGCCCCTATGCTATATGTTATCAAAGACCTTACCAGTTGACGTCAACAGCAATTACTTGGCTAATACCAGGAAAAGGACAAAACTTTGACCATGACAATCAAAATAATGATAAACAGCTTGGCATATGCATGCATCGAGGTTTTGGTTTTAATATCATAAAAAATATCAACGTCAATCTCCATTTCTTTCTTTCTTTCTTTCTTTTTGTGTCCATATTTTGCACGTAAAGAACTGTAGAGTTTGGATTCACAAGAAACAATGTTGAAATGTCTAATGTATGCAATAAACAGCATAAACATCCGAGATAATACCATTGTGACATAACCACATCGTCAATTCATAATTGAATCAAGGTAACCCATGACCCAAGCTTGTAAATCTTTGATTTTCACCGCAATTTCAAATAATACATAGCAGTCCAAAATATGACAATGATCAAAATATGACCCTATACATAATGCAATAAGTAAAAGCCCTCAGCAAAAGAAATCACAGCAACTAGCCACAAATCTGCCTTTTCACGCACATAAAGAAGTTCTGACAACAAGAGCACTGTACCAGATACTCATTCAAGTACAAAAAGCATTAGATTGTTGAAAAGGTCATGATACAACAGATTTCTAAAACTGGATACGAATGTGCTTTTTTACCCAGTCGAATACGCATCAATTACAGAAGTAAAAAAATAAGTAATTGAGCCAAATGCAGAACACTTTCGATTATTGAAAAGCTCCCACTACAAATTTAAAAATAGCTGCATTATGCCATTTCCCTCAGTGTATGAGATGGGGTGTCCATGAGAAGGGCACTAAAGAAGAAATTTACCTATGTACACAAAGCATTAGATTATCAAAAACATCATTTAACTCAATGTCTTTGGCAAACAAGAAAGAAGCTCAAGGCTAGATTCAACTAATAGCTGTGTAAAGAAGTTAGATCGCCCAGCAAAAGTACCTTTTCAGGATTGAGTAACACAGAGATACCAGGAAAGGCACTCAACAGACCATCTTTCACCTGAATAGCTCTTGTCTTGAATGCATTGCACTGTTTGCTGCAAGAATCAACATATGGATTAGAAAATGCATCATACGATAGAAGCCTCATTTTTTAGCACGAGGAACTTAGCTAGGGGCATATTGACCAAAAACAAATACATGAATAAACACTTATGCAATAATTCCTTGAATCATAATGACACTTAATGCCCTATGCAACAGAACTTTCCTATAAAAACACACCTCAGTCATCAAGTAGATGTTTTCATATTGGTAATTTAAAATGCAAGATTACTCACTAGAAAAACTAAATAATGCTGAACAAAATCATCATTCTATATTTTGAAGTTCAAACCATTCCAAACTAACTAAATAAACAAATAAATAAGTTTTTATCTCTATCAAGTTCCTCAACCTTCTTTAAAATCCAACACATGAAATGAAAATACTCAACTTCACTGCTACAGGTTCTAACAGGAAAAAAAATTAAAAGATCAAATAACCTCAAGCCAAGATATATAAGTCCAATCAAAGTTTAAGATAGTGTTTGACATAGTGGTAGTGATTTTTTTTAAAGCAATTTTTTATTGAAAATACATCAAAATAATATTTTTATTTATTTTTTAAAATTCATTTTTAACATCAGTCCATCAAAACAATCCAAAAACACAAAAAATAAAGTTACAAAAATTTTCAAAAACAAGGTTGGAGCACAAAAACAAACACCGCCTAAAAATAGAGCAGATTCCAACTCTCCTTCCTAAACACCAAAGGAAACAGATCCCGGCCAAAAACGATCCGGTTAGATACAAACAATGCTTCTATATTCCTATCAAGCACAGCAAGAACCAGAAACTGAAACCTTAAGAGGACTACTCCATTTTCCCTAGAAAACAACCAGATTAATTTTAAAAAACAAAACAGCATTTCCAATTAATTTCCTGGGATGGGACACTAACCGTTTAACCCTTTCCTTTAAAACAATTTCTGGGCAGCCAAACGGACTTTCTAATTAGAAACAATAATACTATGTCTTATTTCTCCAAACCCCAAAAAGACAAGAAAAATTGAATACAGACATCAAAATTGACCAAAACAAAAACAAAAAGTTATTAATCTAATTTCGCTTACTCAAAATAAACCCACCCCCAAGTTTATTGAAAAACAACTCTATCAACCCTCTTTCATTGCACCTCTATTTTCTTTGAAACCAAACACAATCAGGGAAAGAGAGTCAAAAGTGATTAGAGTAAAATACTCAATCGGGGAAAGAGAGTCAAAATTGATTAGAGTAAAATACCCAATCACGAATTCAACTAACCCTAGAAAGAAAAATCCCCAATCCTCTCAAGACTGAAAAAACCACTTTTCTAAGCCTAATTTACAGTTCACACTTTTAAATAAAAAAAAACCCAGGGCTTGAAATCTCAACACAGTTTCCTCTACCTTCTTCCATTTTCTCAGCAACCAAGAAGGAAAAAGAAATCAGAAACCAAGTACTTAAAACCCTAACTCCACTATTATTTCTCCCAAAACCAAAAAACACTCACATAATTTTTTAAGAAACTAGATGAAAAAACACTCGCTTAATTAGATAAAAGAACACTCACTTTTTCGCCAGTTTAGTGTTTTCCTCTACTTTCTCACAAACCAAACAAAACCTAAAAGAAAATAGATAAACTCACCAATGTTCAATCACAATAGTCTTAGTAACTGCATCACCAGCGGGACTCTCTTCCTTAGCATCTTCTTCTTTCGTTCCGTCCTCGTCGGCCTCCGGTTCTTCTTCTTTAACTTCCTCTGCTTTACCTTCCACCTCAGCCTCCGAGGAAGACGAAGTCTTAGTTTCCGCTTCTTCTTTCAAATGAGTCTTCACCTTCTTCTTCTGACTCTCTGCTGCCTTCTCTTGCTTTCTCTTCTTTCCCGACTCGGTCGGTAACTCAGTCAGCTTCGCATTGAATCTCTTAGCTGTGCTCCGAGTCATCCGAGCCGATCTCCTAGTCGCTGGCTTCTCCAACGACGTCGATTTCGTCTCTTCAGCCTTCTTTCTAGGCGCCATAGGAAGAAAGGAAAAACGAGAACGAAATGAGAGTCCGGACGAGCTCGGCTTCCTTCTCACCGTGCGTGGAGAGCCGTGAAATGGTTCGCGTGTCGGATTTTTTATTTTTTTATATCTTTATGTTTTTGGCTTTTTTTCGTTTTCCCGCGCTTTTTGTCGAGGGACGATCTGTGATTGGTTTTTGGTGGGGTGATCGGAAGTGATGAGGGGTTGAAAGGATAAGATTGTACCACGTGGAAGAAGGTGCCAGCAGGGTTTGGACACGATATGTATCCAGGTTCCATGGGTCTCCTTCCCGTCCAAAAAAATTCCATATGCTTGGATGAAGGTCGTTAATAATATTTTTTGTTTTTGACATCATAAAAAAAATATTATAATATAAATTTGAATAGTAAAATTATAAAATTATAAGTAATTTTTTTAATAATTATATATTGATAATTTTAATTAATAAATTAAATTATATTAAAATATGATAAAATGAATCAACAATATTATAATTAATAAATAATCTAAATAAAATGAGAGAAATAAATATTATGAATTAATAAATTAATATCATGGAGAAATAAAAAATTTTAGAATAAATTTTTTTAATATAAGAGAATTACTAAAAAGATAGGAAGCATATATAAACTTAAACTAATGAGTTTAAATTAGTAATTAATTAACACAAATTTAATAATAAAATAAATTTATAAACAATGTCTAATGTGTTAGAAAAAAATTCAAATTAAAAATAATTATTTAAAATTAAATAAATTAAATAATAAAAAATATCTTCATGTTAAAATTTCTCTGTATGGCATGAATCTTTAATTTTTGTATATTCTTGACATATTTGAGTCTTGATTTCAAATATATTGTTCTTACTTGATTTCAAACATATCATTCCCTCACATTTTCATAATTTATTGAGTCTACGATATATAATTAGAAAGTTTCATATATATAATTTCTATCTTAACTTTAATCAAAATAAAATTATATCAGTAACTTTAAATATGTTCCAAATAGTATATAAAGATATTATTTGATATATTTAACAATATTAGTTTATTAAATTTGAGCATTTAAAATATTATATTTTGTTAACTTCATTTGACTTGAAAATTTACCATAATATATTTTTATATATCTAATATTTTCCTGTAAAATTTCAGTTTTATTCAATATATAGTTTGAAAGATATGTTTAATTTCACAAAACTAATCAACGAATATTTTAAGGTTAAATTTGAACTAATTTGTTTCATATCACAAATTTAGTAAACTCATAAAATCAAACTGTGTTTATTAATTTTACACGAGTTAAGTCTAATTTTACTGATTTTAAATTTTTAGTTCAATTTAGCAAGTTAAATACATGTTAACTCATAAAATTATAAGACTTTACAAGTTGCCTGCTGATTTTAACAATGTTACTTAACAATGTTGCAAATTAATTATAATTTAATACTCTTAGTTTACAAAAAAGAAATAATATTTATAACATAAAAATAATTGAGTAATTCTTAGATCACCGTTGATTATAGTTAATTTAATGGTATGTTTTCTACTACAAACGAATTCCCTCATCAAACTCTCTATCCTATCTACTTGTTTTTAAATCTTTTTATAATTTTTAAAATAAAAAATCAAAATGAAATGAAGAAAATATGAAATTGACAACAATTAACGTGGAATATAATTATAAGACATTCAAACAACATTTTGTAAGAAAATGCTGTTGAAAGTCATGTTTACTGTAAGGAATAGCAGAGCAGGAAGAAAAAAAATAAAATAAAAAATAATAAAGAGAGAGAGAGAAGATAGAAAAAGGGAAAGGAGACGATAATTTTACGTGGAAAACCCTCTCAAGATGAGGGGAAAAACCACGGGGCAATCACGGAAACACTATTATTAATTTGTATGCTAAGGTAACAACTTTGTTTCAATGTACAGATAATATTCAAACACTATTATAAGAAACAATAAGTAAAACAATAAAAAGAAGCAAAGTCAGAAACAATATAATTAATTAATTAATTAATTAATTAAAGGATATATACACATTTCCTCCTCCGATGGATTTGAGCACTGGCAATATTTTCTTTTCCCAAGTTGTCGGGTGCCTGCATAGCAACGAGAAAGATGATTATACTTATAGTTGATTACATAGGAAATTGATGGATGATATATGCTCTTAATTCATCGATCGAAGCTATTATTCTCTTATTAAAGTTAATTATACAGTAAAACCACACGTTCGTTCTTATTAGATGAAGATATTGTCTACTTAATGGATATATACTAAAATAGGTAATTATATATATATAATGGATATATACTAAAGTAGGCAATTAATCCAATAGGAACACCCAAAATAAACAAACAAATAAATAAATAAATAAAAGAGGAAGTTAGCTCCTAATTACATATATAGAAGTTACCTGCAGCTATTTATCTATTGTCGTATTAAACCTTGCCAATAATTAGGAAACTCCTGCCAATTAAAAGGAGAAATTAAGTAGAAGATCAGTTTCCTAAAATTATACATAAAAGTGCAACCCTTTTCTATTATTAAATAAATAGATAAAAATAATGTGACGTCAGATTTAATTATAAAAGAACACTTTACCTCATCTAATCTGTGGGTATTACATAAATTCGATGTTTGGGGTATGAGAGGCGTTGGGCCAGCCCTTTCCTCCTCCTTCGAATTGCGCTTCTATAATTGGGCTGTTAAAGATTATCAGTTGCTCTAGAGTTGTTGACTGGAGCACGTAATCCGGAAGTGCTTTCAATTTCGGGCACTGCACAATTGTCAAGGAACGAAGAGATGGCATTATGATTGAATTGAAGATGTTCGTTTTATCTTCATTTCCTCCTCCTCCTCCTTCCCACTCTTCCCACTCTCCCATACCCCCAAA